ATAACAAAAAGTAACGTGTCACTGCCGTGCATCGTGTAAATTAAGTACTTTTGGTATTTTTGCCCAGGCGCTTTTGGCATTTTTTAGCGCATTACCTGAATTCACATTGCTTCGTGTATGTGTAATATAAATACAAGAAGATTAGTGCAAAATTGTTGTTGTTAGTTATAGTTTTTTGGCCGCCGTGTGCTAGCAAATGCATTTTATGCCTGGCCCGCGCACTTTGGCACTACATGTTAACTGATTTTAGGCCGGCGTGGATCGAATTGGGCTGGAAAGCGGTGCGTAACGGCGGTCGTCAGGAAACTTGGGTGTGTATATGTGTGTTACGGGCGTGTTTGTGACGTAGGCAAGCGAGAGAGAGCGAGCAAACGAAATTCCGTAGAATCCAGAAAACCATCCGATATCGGTGGTCGCAGTCCCAAGCCGGCTTTAGTAGGCGGGGCGGGGCGTGGCGGGGCTCGTACACCCACCCACCCATTCAGTGGAGCCAGCGATAAGTCCGCCGCAATTGAGATAACTCTGCCTTAATTTACGAGACACTATAGTCTGTTTATCTGTCCAATTGTACTCCCCATATATGTGTATGGTGTTTGTTTGTGTGCGATGGAAGCTCTTCACTGATAAATTCTGGCTCTTTCTTTTTTTTCGCTTTTCAGCGATGTGCTGACAATGTAAGTGATATTATTATGCAAAATAATGCTCTAACTTCCGCCGCCGATTGAGCTCTATATGGCCACCAAATTGCCTGTGTTTGTATGGCCCTCTGTGCGCCCTGCATATATGTACATATACTATCACTTGCGCGCCTTCGCGCGTCGGCGTTCTTATATCATAAATTGATATGTTAACTGCCAGAACGGCAAAGCAAACTGTATTACAATGGCACCATTATCTGGAAATTCACTGACCCTGCCCTGAATCTTGCCCAGCCAACATTTTGCCGATATGCATGCTCACTTGAAACCCCTTGTCAACTCAACTCGATTTTTTCAGATTGGCTAAGGTTTAATGGATGACACATCAGCACCATGGGAAAGCTACTATCAAAAATTTTCGGCAACAAGGAAATGCGAATTCTCATGCTCGGACTGGACGCGGCTGGAAAAACAAGTGAGCATATGAAAACCCCTTTAAATTCGATTTTGCGTCCTAGATACTTCTGCGATGAACTAGAAACATATCTTAGTTGGGAACCAAATTTTCCCTATGACTTCGTAGTTACGTATTCAGATAGGCATATCTGACGTATTCTTATAAAACAGAACACATCATTAAAGTGGAATTAAATGTATAGGAAACAGTCGTTCGATTAAATTCATCAAACGTTTATAATATAGGGTAACCTTCCCATCAATTTCTCTGGATGTTTTCAAGTGAGTTGTAATTAAATATTTGTTTATTCTTCCCCAAATTGGATGGGAAACGAAAAACATTAACGGTGCAATAGCTAAAACTTATTAATTTTCAGATATTGAAAATTCTAAACTCGCCTTGACAGTTTTTTAAACTAATTAAATCAAATTCAAAGATCTTTATATGTTAATAGACCAAAATCGAATTTAAACCTGTGTTTTTCTGTTCATGAGCCTAATTGATTTATTAACTGATCTTTTCTTTAAACACCCACAGCGATTCTGTACAAACTAAAACTCGGGCAATCAGTTACAACGATACCCACTGTGGGCTTTAATGTGGAGACCGTCACGTACAAGAACGTCAAGTTCAATGTGTGGGACGTCGGCGGGCAGGATAAGATTCGACCGCTCTGGAGACACTATTACACGGGTACACAGGGTCTGATCTTCGTCGTAGACTGTGCGGATCGGGATCGGATAGACGAGGCGCGCACGGAGCTGCATAGGATAATTAACGATAGGGAGATGCGCGACGCCATCATACTGATATTTGCTAACAAACAGGATCTGCCTGATGGTAACTACTGTCTCTAGAAAATCCCTTCAACCTGCTAATGGATTTCCCTTCTTTAACTTCTAGCAATGAAACCCCATGAAATCCAGGAAAAACTAGGTTTAACTAGAATAAGAGATCGCAATTGGTATGTACAACCATCATGTGCCACATCCGGCGATGGCCTGTCCGAGGGCCTCATTTGGTTAACGTCGAACCATAAGTTATGAGAATCGTAATCAAGCATTTTTCTTATATGAATGTATATGGCATGTATTATTCGAAGCGAAGCAAAAGCGAAAATTATTCTATTTTATTTATACAAAGAAAACCAACCGCAAGCGCATAGTAAAAGCCCAATTCGTAATAACGAACGTACATAAATTACAAATGTTAAAAATGGTATGTAGAAGTCAGATATATATAGTGATTATATATATATACTCTCAATTAACCAACCAATATTCTCACTAGTAAAAATACACATTACTACAAATAAACGAAGCATCAACAATATAAGCAGTCGGTAAATATCCGTAAAGTAAATTATGCGTGAAGCACAGAGACATACATAAAGCAAAACATCAACGGAGATTAGCCTTAAGTAAGTTTTTCTTGTAAATTATATTGATGAGACACGTAAGCAATAAGTTGAAAGCTTGTTTATTGCAACTGTTACTATATTTGACTTGATCGAGGGTGTAACGAGTCTTAAATAAATTGTAAATAAATATTCAAATTAAAGCCCATATACAACAACAAACGAAATAAAAGAAAACACCGAACAAACAATTGAACAAGCCTATTTAGATTAAAACTGAGTCTTCAAAATATAACGAAATAGTAACTGTGCCTTCCTCAATGTGTGTCTATGGTCCCTTATTATTTTCCTGAGTAGCTGTTGGGCTACTGTGCTCCATGGGGTATTTGCCGATAGGAAGAAAGATCCCTGGATTGCCAAACGAGGCATCATGACTTCAGTGTCAAACGCATTTGGTTGTAAATAGCGCTCAATTCGAAAAGTAAACATGCCACTTTCATTGCCATAACTTGGAGGGTAAGTGTACCTGTAGAAACCTGATTATGATTAGTTAAACAAGGCATGCAATAATCTACCTTTGTTTGCCAATCATCCCTCAGTTTATGAAGAAAGTCTTTGACATTGACCTGAAACCGCTTTGTTACATTGGTATATGAATAAACAAATGAATTATATATTCTTATTTTTCTGGTATTTGTAGGTATAGGTATTAACAAGCAAAAAAATACGCTCGATAACCTTTTAAAATTTGGTGTCTTGTTATTGCTGCTCACATTTTGTTACAGAAAAAACCTAACGTATTACAGATTTATATTTTTTAATTTTTGGTTTACCCGTGCATAATAGTTTTCTTTAGAAGAATGCGCCGCAGTGAAAAACCATTTTGTATTTATAGGTTTTTATTCACAGTTCAATTGTCAGAGGTTCCATCCTTTAGATGACTAATAAAAGTCGCATAATACAACATAGCTACCACTAAAAGCTGAAGAAATAATGCTTAACAAGCATGCGACTACTATTTTGTTTTTATATTTTTGGTATTTAGAAACTGTAGAAGTTTTATAAAGGGGGGTCACAAAAATATCTTCATACCAAATATCGCCCGAAAAGTACATTTCGGGGTCATAGAAGAAACCGGTTCAAAAATAAGAAGACGAATTAAAACCAAAGGATTAATAGATTATATGCATATAACTTTTTAATGGATGGTTTGCACAATTTTTGGCATGTAGACGGATATTGATAATTATAATCCAAATAAAATCCAATTTACACTTTTACAAAATCTTTAAAAATGTGGGCGCCAGGTTTTAGCCGCTAGGTGGCGCATGTGTTCGGTGTGCAATCTTGGGAACAGTTGTCTTGCTGCTTAAAAAACTCCGTCTCCCTCGCTTTCCCCTTAGCTGAGAAAGGGTATTTTTTCTGCTGTTTATTTTTTTGTGAATTTAATTTGAGAAGCAATTTTACAGAATCCATCGAAAATAAAGTATAAACACGAAAAGGTTTTGATTGTCAAATCATTTGTTTTCGATAAGAAATTCGAGGCTGTGATAATGTGTAGTACACATAGTGATTAGCACAGATAGAGTCGACACTATTACTGTGTTTATGCTATGCCTATTTCATGAAATAAATTCATGAAATGAGCAAATTCGTGTGTGCATAAACACCGTTTCATGAATTCGATAACACACGAAAGTTCACTATGAATTCAGTCCCAATTTACGAAATGCTGAGGCACAGCCTACTTCACAGCCTACTACTCTATAGAGCTCTATATAAAATTCAAAAGATTAGACAGCTTTACTAATATCATTTCACGAATTTGTCTGTGTTGCATAAACAGGGGCTATTATAATTTCATGTTCTGGAGAATGCATGATATTCATAGCATAAACATAGTATATGTAATTTATTTATGTATTCCCCAATTGTTTTATAATACAAAAAAAACTGATTAGACTTTATTTTCAAACCACAATGCCGACTTTTCAAAGATACGTTTTCGACCCTATAAGGTATGTATATTCGTGATCAGCATTATCAGACTAGTTGATCTAGCCTTATCCGCATCGACGACGACGTCTGTCCATTTCTACACAAACTAATCTTAGTTTTAAGGCTATTGTGGTGAAACTTTCCAAAAATAATTGTTTATATTGCCGGTTAAATAAAAGCCGGAACAAGCTGGATCGACAACTACATCCTATAGCTCCCATACGAATGAACGGAAGTTATATAACTGGATCATAAAACTGACACGGAAACAATCGGAAAATTTATAGGAAAGTAGAAAGATACATTTGGTAGCTTCGTTGTTTTAATCTTGTTTTCGTATATCAGTATTTCAAATTTTTGTATACTGGTTTAAATGCATGACTCCATGATAAGATTAAAGCAGCAGGGGTATATTAACTTAGGCTTGCCGAATTTTTCTTTCTTTTTTGTTTACTTTACATTTCCATCCATTCGGGTGAATTTCTTTATTAAGACAATCAAAATAAGTTTTCCTTTTTTTCTGATTTTACCCTTTTGAAATCTAACAGTATTAAGTAAAATAGCGGAAAAGAAATTGCTTTATTATTATTTTGGAACGTTTTTTATATAATGCTAACAAATTGGAGAATTAGTAGCCGTGACGATTATGATGTCCATGTCCATGATGCTGTCCATTAAATCCACCACCAAATTCGCTGTTGTGTCCGCCGAATCCTCTCTGACCGCCGTGACCTCCGTGTCCGCCGTATCCTCCTTGTCCGCCGAATCCTCCTTGAGGTCCGCCGAATCCTCCTTGAGGTCCACCAAATCCTCCTTGAGGTCCACCAAATCCTCCCTGTCCACCGTATCCTCCCTGTCCGCCGTATCCTCCTTGTCCGCCGAAGCCTCCTTGAGGGCCACCATATCCTCCTTGAGGTCCACCAAATCCTCCTTGAGGTCCAAATCCTACTTGGGGTCTGGCCAAAACAGCCCCCACTAAGGCAATTAGAACGATCTAAAGGGTAAACCAATTTTAGTTATGGCTACTTTTTAATCGTTTAGTCTACTCACCAGCAGTTTCATGTTGATTTAAATTTTCAAACTAAACTCGACTGCAAAACAGGCCTCTTTTTATACCCGAGTCGTAAAGAAATTCAAAATGTAATTTCGACTATGAGATACCTATTAGCGTACCTAACTCTAAATTTATCAACGCTACAAAGTAAATATTTTCTGATATACTTCTTGCCTTATTGCACTTAAATAACGTATGAAATTCCCTTTTCAAAACAAAAAAATTTGTTTGACGGCAAATATCTGTATGATAAATTATAATCTTTCAAGGAGTATTCCCAATTAAATAGTATTACCGTGTAAAGATCGAAAAATGTTGATAAGGCAACAAGAGGTCAATTTTTAGTGGAAAAAAACAACATGTAAATCACAGACGGAGGAAGCAGCAATCAGACCATTGTTTTTGTTTTCTGAAAAAAAATGTTACGCATACAAGGTATGTGCGTATTTTGTTAAGCATGAGTGTGAGACTTTTAATTGATAAGACCTATTTATTACATTTGCCACTTTATAAATTAAAAACATCAATTTAAAATGTTGACCCTTTATCATAAAGGATTCATAAAGCAGTTTCGGTTAAAAATATCAGATTGCTATAAATAATGTGTTAAGAAGAACGAAAAGAATATCAGAATCAAGATTTTGTGTTTTGTTCAAGACGTGAGTCGATTTGGGACCGCCTTGAAAGACAGTATATTTTTAAGTTATTCTCATTAATATTGTGAATTTTTATAAAAAGTAGTAATACATTTATAACATTTATAAAACAATAGATAACTACATTTTCTGTTATGAAGGGTCGAGCTTTAATAGAGTTGTAATTATAAGTTGTAAGTTTGATATAAAAATGTTTTTAAATAATTAAAGTTTTTGAATTTTTGTTTGGTTTTTCTTGCAAAGTTTTAGCAAGTAAATGATTTAAATCTTTTTTGACTCAAAAACACGCATTAAAAGGATTTATAATATTATTAATATATTTTCCCTTTGAAATTATATGTTTATTATCATGTCCACTCAAACAGTCTTAAAATAGTAACAATTTGTTTAATATTCGCAAAAATTTATATAGGTAAGCACCAAAAAATTCATTGTACTTATTGCTTATTATTTACATTTATACACTCAAAAAAAAAATCACCATAAATATTAGAAAATCGCCCGTGATTTCAAAACGCCATTGAATTAAGAAATATTTTCTTGATTATAGAAAAAATACCTACAATTTAAGGAATTCGCCATAATTTTTTTTTTTTTTGTAATGAAGAAGAGGAAGAATCGCATTTTTTTCTTTAACTAATGGCGAATTTTTCTTGATTTTTTTTCTTGAAATAATGGTAAATTCTTACTTAAATTTAGGAAAGAAATACCCATATTTTAAGAGAAAGTGATTTTTTTTTATACATTTTGATGGTGGTCTAGCTGGTAAAGACGTCCGGTCAATAAACAATCGAACAAAAGTACCTGGTTCGAGCCCACGCCACGGCAAGTGTACTCTTTGTTTATTTATTTTTCTTTTTTTTTTAATTTATGTAATTTTTATTCTTATTAGTTTCACTTTTCTATTTACCAAATTGTATAAATGGTTGTTAAAAAGGTTTAGATTAGAATAACCGTTATTGGTATGCGTAAAGCTGGACCAAAAACACCTTAGCCCTCTTTAGTCATTGTATGACAAGAAGCACGCGTGGCCGAATGGTTAAGACGTCTGGCTATGGTGTGAGCGGTTGCGGGTTCGAGTTCACGCCGGGGTTGTCTGAGGTAAGGATTTTTCCATTTGTTATATTTATTTATATGTTTATAAAAAGTATTTATATATAACAAATCTTTAATAAATTCAGGTAAATATAAAAATTATCAGACTGTATTCCCATGTAATAATTGCCATTAAAATTAGAAACGGTTTTATCCATTTAAAATCCAAAATTTGTATACAAAACCAACCAAATTCCTCAAATGTAAGGTGTAAAATGTAAAGAGTAATGTAATCTTACATTATAAATATTTTTTTGTCTTATTTTAATAAATTTTTTCTTAATTTTAAGGTTTTTTACCATACATTTAAGAAAAATTTGTCATTATTTCCAGAAATGGCAAACCATAAATTCAAGAAAATTATTTATTTAAAATAAAGGTGAGTCGCCGTTGGATGAAAATCATAGGCGATTTTCTTGATTTAAAGGCGAATTTCTTGATTTAAGGGCGATTTTTTTTTGGGTGTACTGGCGAGTGCGGTAATGATGGCGAGTGCGGTATAGATGGTGATGAGGGTGGAAATGACTTTCACAAGACCATCCTGTGTGAGTCCGTCCTCTTCCATAAGAGTCTTGTATGCAGAAGCCTTGAGGTCTACCATATCCTGCTTGGGGTCTGGCCAAAACAGCCCCCACTAAGGCAATTAGAACGATCTAAAGGGTAAACCAATTTTAGTTATGACAACTTTATTAATCGTTTAGCCTACTCACCAGCAGTTTCATGTTGATTTAAATTTTCAAACTAAACTCGACTCCAAAACAGGCCTCTTTTTATACCCGAGTCGTAAAGAAATTCAAAATGTAATTTCGACTATGAGATACCTATTAGCGTGCCTAACTCTAAATTTATCAACGCTACAAAGTAAATATTTTCTGATATACTTCTTGCCTTATTGCACTTAAATAACAGATGAAATTCTCTTTTCAAAACAAAAAAATTTGTTTGACGGCAAATATAAGTATGATAAATTATAATTTTTCAAGAAATATTCCCAATTAAATAGTATTACCGTGTAAAAATCCAAAAATGTTGATAAGCCAACAAAAGGTCAATTTTTAGTGGAAAAAAAACAACATGTAAATCACAGACGGAGGAAGCAGCAATCAGACCATTGTTTTTGTTTTCTGAAAAAAAATGTTAGGCATACATACACGGTATGTGCGTACTTAGTTAAGCATGAGTGTGAGACTTTTAATTGATAAGACCTATTTATTACTTTTGCCACTTTATAAATTAAAAACATCAATTTAAAATGTTGACCCTTTATCATAAAGGATTCATAAAGCAGTTTCGGTTAAAAATATCAGATTACTTTAAATAAGGGGTTAGGAAGAATGAAAAGAATATCAGAATCCAGTTTTTGTGTTTTGTTCAAGACGTAAGTCGACATGGGACCGCCTTGAAAGACAGTATAATTTTAAGTTATTCTCATTAATATTGTGAATTGTTATAAAAAGTAGTAATACATTTATAACATTTATAAAACAATAGATAACTACATTTTCGTTATGAAGGGTCGAGCTTTAATAGAGTTTAAGTTGTAGGTTTGATATAAAAATGTTTTTATATAATTAAAGTTTTTGAATTTTTGTTTAACTATTCTTGCAAAGTCTTAGCAAGTAAATGATTTAAATCTTTCAGACGCACGAAGAAAGCTAGGCATGCTCCATTTTCGAGTCAGAAACACGCATTAAAAGAATTTATAATATTATTATTATAGATTGCCTTTCAAATTATATGTTTATTATCATGTCCTTTCAAACAGTATTAAAATAGTTACAATTTGTTTAATATTCGCATAAGTTTATATAGGTAAGCACAGAAAAATTCATTGGACAGATTGCTTACTATTTATTATAACTATATCTTCACTGGCGATGGCGGTAATTTATTTATTTATTTCGTCAACGGAATTCTTTTACTGGCTCCTCCTAGGTAATGATGGTGATGAGGGTGATGATGGTGATGAGGGTGTCGATGGTGATGCCTGTGAGAAGTAGTCCTTCCTCTTCCATCAGAGCATCCGTTACCAAATTTAAAAGGGGAAGCAAAAGTCAGCAAGGCAAAAAGAACAACCTGAAGGATAGTCAAAATTTAGTTCAGGTTACTTTACTACCGCAAGGCCTACCAATAGATTCATCTTGATTCAAGTTCTTGAACTGAATTCAACAACGGAAATGTCTTCTATTTATACCCGGGGCGTACAAATTTGCATTATTAGATTTCGACTTTGAGATGTCAATGAACATGAAAGAACATGAATTAATTATTCATAAAATAAACTTTGATTGTGAATTCAAAACAGAATTAAATGAGAAATTTCTTTCTTTTAACAATAATTAGTACTTTTGGTTTCTTATTGAGCTGAACGCCAACATAATTTAAGAACCGTTAAGAACTATGTACAAGAACAATACGTCTTTAGATGTAAAGCAAACAATGGCAAGTTTTCACAATCAACCGAAAATCGATAAAAACAGTTTAAATAAAATGTTTCTAATTACCATCCGAAAAAAGAGAATGTTTTATGCCATTTGATAGTAATAGTTAAGTATGTAACAGGCAGAAGGAAGCGTTTCCGACCCCATAAAGTATATATATTCTTGATCAGGATCACTAGCCGAGTCGATCTAGCCATGTCCGTCTGTCCGTCTGTCTGTCCGGATGAACGCTGAGATCTCGGAAACTATAAGAGCTAGGCTATTGAGATTTGGCGTGCAGATTCCTGAGCTTCTTACGCAGCGCAAGTTTATTTCAGCAGAGTGCCACGCCTACTCTAACGCCCACAAGCCGCCCAAAACTGTGGCTCCCACAGTTTTTATGCTACAATAAAAATTTTAACTGAAATGTATTGGTCTCGTCAATGCCTATCGATTGATCCAAAAAATTTGCACGCCCACTCTAACGCCCATAACGCTTAAATCTATCTACCACCGGTAGATGGCTCATTTTAATCTCGCTTTGCTGCTTGCCATATCTTCGATATACACTCTGGGGAACAGATCCGCCTTGTGCAATGCTCGCACTCTGGCCTCCCTGTCCGCCGCCATATCCTCTATGTCCACTTTGGGGAACTGAGTCCTCCATCGTATCCTTCTTGTCCACTCTGGGAAACGGACTCGCCAAATCCACTTGCGACTGTATCAAGTCCTCCTTATCCAGTTCTGTCAAAGCCAGTTCCCCCCAAGGCAAATTGGACAATCTAAAGGGTAAAACCACTTAACTTTAAAGTTAACTCTGATCATAATTTGCTTACTCACCAATTTTTTTAATGTTAATTTGTATTTTGAAACGTTGATTCTTTTTATACCCGAGCTGCCAAAAGTATCAAGTAATATGTTTCGACTTTGAGTTACCTGTAAGCTGTTTATTTACTTAGTATACTATGTCCTTCTTAATACCTTTTTCTTTCATTCATCCCAAGTAAAAACTTCTCTAATCTTTTTATTTATTTTATGACTCAATTTAAAAAAGACGTAGTCTGCATAACATAAGTATGGAAATACATATTCCCATTAAAAATGTATTAACCTGTGGTAACCCAAAAAATTTTGATAACTTTTTTATTTCTTTCATCCCAAGTAATAACTTCTCTAATCTTTTAATTTATTTTATGACTACATTTTAACAATACTTAGTCTGCATAACAATGGTATTCAAAAACATATTCCCATTAAATATTGATTACCCTGTGGCAAAACCCAAAAAATTTTGATAACGCAAGAGGTCTTTGCTTAGTTGAAAACAAAACAAAATGTTAGTCACATACAAAGAAAAGCTTTGATGAAACACGTGTCTTTGTTCTTTTTATAAACTATTTATATGTGTTAGGAAATTTTTCATGTCTCAATATATAGGCAGGTATATAACTATTTTACTTTAATGGGCTTTAAAAATTTCTTTTTAAGGATTTATGAGTTATTTATTTATCAACTCAAGATTATAGTGTCCTTTATAATATAAACTATTAGTTTCACATATGTGTTCAATATACATTAAACGAATAACTGATGAAAGCAAAAATTAAAAGTGTGCTTGTAATTTGGAAAAATTTATGTTGAGATTACATTTCAGCTTCTGTAAATAATAAATATGAAACACAAATGCATTTATATTTTAATAAAGGAAATGTCATTAGGATTTTATAGTGGCTTTATAGTAAGGACCGGTAGCTGAATATCTAGGATTTGCTGTTAAAGTATGACCGGGACGTAAATCAAAGATACAATGTGTCTGAATGTTGAATAAAAGAGGCAGTCCATGAATTTTGATTGATTAAATAAAGTGCACTGCACTTGATCAGGCTGGCAGCCCCCACCCCTCGCTTTCCTGTGGGTGGGATTCGCAGAGATGCGTCGGTGTGGGTGTATTTGTGTATGTATCCTGGTATCCTGGCAATGCGAAATGTCGCCGTTCAAATGTCAAGAACCAACCCTGTTGCCTCTGTTCGTCCCGCTCGCACGGCATCGCCTGTCTCGCCCACACTGCCGGGTATCCTTGGCTATTACAGGATAAAGCCGCTCTCTCTATCGCTCCCTCTCGCTCTCTCTCGCTCCTCCCTCGGCGTGGTGGGCGTGGCCATGGCGGCAAAGCGCTTTGACTTTTGCATTTGTTCACTTTTGTGCCGAGCATAAACTTCTGCCAGCTTTCTCTCTTGCTTTCTCCCCCACACAACGAGAGAGATGGAGAGAGAGATTGGAGAAAGGAGCGGAGAAAGGAGCGGAGAAAGGAGCGAAGGAGAGAGCGAGAGGAGGGGCTGTGGCTTGCCAGGATCCTGACTGTTGTATTCCGACATCTCATTTGTTACAAAGTTAATGTCGGCGCATTAAGCATGGCAAAAGCCCCACAACAAAATCGGGGAGCGGAACGGAACCCCGTGCCACCCGGTTCTACACCATTTCCATACCCCCCCGTCAAGCTACATTTATCGATTATTGGATTAGTGGACCCGGGGCCACAAAGTCTTAAATAAGAGTGTTTATATAGAACGAATAGAAAACAATACATATAAAAATGAAACACACCATCATACATTTAATGCAAAGTTTTGTTTTTAAGTAAGCTTTAAATGAATAATGTTTTTTAAGAGATTAAGTCTAAAATTAAGTTTTTTAGCGTCTTATTCAAATTTTTACAAATATTTGTAAACTTAAACTCAATTTTTTTATATTACAGGTTCTTCCAAACATACTACAAACTTGCTTAGATTTTGTTTAAAGATATTTCTGAAAGTGATGGTTGCCAGTCAAGTTTTGTATAGTTCTCCTAAAAGACGACTTTTATATTTCGAGAAGAACCAGAAGCTTCCTTTTGTATTAGAAAAGCGAAAAATGAACTATAAGGCGATTACTCCTCGGTTTCTTAGGCTTTAACTCAAAACTTTAACCTATTAGTATTGCTAGGGAATAAATAAATAAAAGTTTATTTCAATTTCAGTTATTTATAAAAAAGAAATCCTTAAACCTGAAATTAGCTATTAATATATGTAAGACTGTAAAATATATATAAACCATATAACTTGAAATTTTTAAGAGATGTTTTGGAAAAGCAACCATTGTAATTTTGGAAAAAATAAAATTGTAAAACTATTTTATTAAAAATCGATTCGTAACACTCACTATTTAGATATACTTTCAGGCGATACAAGTACACCCACAGAGCAACGAGCAAAAACAATTTTCTCTTCAATTCAATTACAGTTAACTGGGAGGTGGCAATTGTGGGTGGCGGAGGAGGCGGAAGCTTTGGGAGGGCGGTTAGAAGACGAGGCCAAGAGTGACGTCGTTTGAAGAGGGTCAGGAGGGCGGAGCGGGACAGACGAGGGGAAGGACATGCAGAGCAACTGGAAAGCGCCGACATCACAAAGGGTATTATAAAACAAAAACAAAATGTCAAAACCCAAGACGATTATACGAGCGCCAGCCGCGCAGCTGCGTCATCCGGTTTATGGGTGTATTGGTGGGGAGCCACCATTGCTCTCTCCCACTTCCGTTTCCGCTGCCCGTCTCTCTTCTCCTCTCACCTTTTTGTGAGTCATGATGGCGACCGAACCGAAAGTTCTCTGCCGTTTGCTTGTGTGTGTGTGTGTAGAGAGAGCGCAGAGCCGGGTGTTTATTGGAGATTGCGATTGTGGCTTGGCTTACCCACACACACACACACACACACTCGCACACTAGCAGCAAGGACATGCTCCTGCCGCAGCATCAAGAAGGAACGAATCAAAGCAAGCCAACAAGCAAATGCGCCACCAGAGTTGCCACTAAAAGTCTTCGTCGGTGGGTGGGTAGTGTGCGGTTATCCCTCGCTCGCTGCTCCTTGCTGGCTGCTCGCTGCTCGATGCTCTCTGCTCTTGCTGGTGGTGTGTGTTAGTGTGTCCTGTGCTGTGCTTTTTGTCCTCACACACACACACTCGCACACACTCGCACACTCCTCTGCCCACTCAGCGACCGCGGATTATATCCTGCGATATGGTTTTTTCCTAGTCCGGGGTTGGCCCGTTGGCTGGTTGGCCGACTGCTGGAGTGGACACATCACTGTTTAGCTCCTGTCACGCTTTTATGATAAATCTGAAATCCAGAATCTGAAATCGTACATCGAGACGTTAACATCATCATCGCCGCACATTCGCAGTCGCCGTCGGATCGGTTTGGTTCGGTTTCATCAGCGGGAATCGCAGGACACTCCAGTTCAGTTGCCGTCGCCTTTCTGTAATTATGGAGCTTAATGAGACATCCTACAAAAGTGTGTTTTAAAAGTGTAATTTTAAAAAATAACAAAAGGTGCTTCTTGTTGCTAAGACTTTTAAACTTCGTGTAACTTAAAATCACACTCTAGTAAAACCAAAATGAATAAAGAAGAAAATTCCTCCGAAACACGCCCATCATCTCAAGGTAAATTATACATTTATGGGATAATAATAAATACTTTACATAAATAGTGAAAAATATACTAAATATATTGTTTTCTAAACAATTAAACTCATAAATAATAAATACTTTTAATAAATAGTGAAAGATATACTAAAAAAAAAAATCATACTTTAATTTCAAAAGCTGTATTATAATAAAAAAGAAATTTATAAAGTGTATAAGGGTTTCATATAATAAGAGCTATATCACGTTTACGTTTAATTGTATGTAAAATATAATTACAAGTTTTTTTCGGACACCGTATACCCTCAATTAAAAGGCCCACGTTAGGAAAAAATGCCATAAAGAGAAAAAGAAAAAGGGTTTCTATGAAAAAAAAAATGTTGAGAGCAAAGATTTAAGACCAAAAATGTTCCACATGTGAACAAAGTACGTGGTGAAGATTTTGTTAATTCATATACCTTGGCCGAGGGAATTATAATTTTGATCAGAAGTTTGTAACGCAGTAAAGGACAAATTTCCGACTCCATAAAGTATATATGTATATTCTTGAGCAGAATCGCTAGACGAGTCGATTAGACCGTCCGTTCTTGTGATTCAATACCGTTTGCGAGCTAAATATTGATTTGAAAATTTGTGCACGTAGGTCAAGTTGGATCGAACCTTTATATACTATATCTTTCATAGGAGCGATCGAATGAAACTTGTAAAGTTATGCTGTTCGTGAGGATATTTCGCGAAGTGTAAAAGCTATTAGTATTAATATGAATCTTTCCAAACAGTATTTTTTATGCATACCTTGGTGAGGTTAAAAGCACTTGAAGATCGGACGTCCTTTTCCTAAAGCTCCCATAGGAAAGATCTGGAAAAATGTACCGATTTTTCCAGTTCTTCGATGATTTGGTCAAATAGGTCAAAACTGATTGTTTTTTAAGATTTTTGCACATATTTCGTTGTTATATATTTTATATTTATACTTATTTAATTCACTTTTTATTGAATAAGTAAAGTTAATGTAAAAAAGCTGCAGCTTGCGGAAATTTACTTCCAATATTTGTTATACCCTTGCAGAAGGTAAAATGATTTTAGTCAGAAGTTTGCAACGCAGTGAAGGAGACGTTTCTGACCCCATACAGTATATTTTTTCAGGATCAGCATCACTAAGTCGGAACGAACCGGATCGGACAACTATATTCTTAGCTCCAATAGGAATAATCAAGAAAATGTTTTTTAAAAAATGTAAAAAAAATTATAATTTCGGTGGTTTTTGACATATTAACTTTTACTCTGGGAATATCATTTTGTTTATAATTCAGAATTTTGAAGAAAATTTAAAAATAATCATATAGCTGCAATACGAACGATCGGTTTTATTTTAGTTTTTTAAAAATCGGAAAGTTCTATACATACAATGCTCCTACGGAGGCGACCTGCAAGGGTATAGAAACTACGGTTTGCTATCTTGGTTTTCTTTCGTTTTAAAATTATTTAAGCCATCGCAAAATTTAAACTTTTTTTGAAGAAACACATAGATGAGCGTACAATTTTTTAACAATGCTTAATTTTTGACTAAAAATACTGTTAACGGTTTTTTTAACAACTTAACTTTATTATTTAAGCTTAAAATAATGAGAATAAGAGTAGACTTTTGCATAAAAAGCACACTTTCAAAACATTTCAGAGCTTAAAAAAGCATAAAAAATATAACAATCATAACATGTACAAAAATTAAAGAAACATATATTAACGGTTAGAAAATAGTTATTAAAACTGAATGATTTTGGTATTATACTTTAGAGCAGTAGTGAAAAATTTGAGTGTTTGTCTGTCGTGTAGGTACGGTTGTCCGTATGAACGTCGAGTTGATGTTTTTAATGTTTTACCCAAAAACATAAAGCTAACATCTCCCAAGTGGGAGTGAATAGACAAATACTTAGATGACATTCAAAAATCGCAAGTCGTTAGAAATGTCTTGATAAAAATGAAAAAGAAGCAAAAAACAAGCGAATTAGATATCGTTGTTCTATTAACACATTTTCAATTTGAATTACCAATTTGTAGTAACGAGTTGTCTGCGGAGACACTCAAATTAAATCGATGCCCAACTTCCTGATGGCATGCACGAGTGGCCAAGCAAATTCAATTTGTGATAATCACCAAATTGAATTAGACACCGAGTCAGGCCGCCAAAAATTTCAGAAATTCATAACACAGCCCTTAACACTTTTGTGTGCGTTTGCGGGAGTAGGCCAAAGTGAATTTCAACGAGCTCATAAAATTAACAAAGACGAAGACCCGGAAAATGCAAGCATATGACGCTAATCCTCTGGCATTAGACCGCAGCCCTGCCAGTTGGTCCCGGATGAAAGGCCTCCTGACTTTGTCTCTCGATCCGAATCACAAGCGGACCAAAACCAGAACCATAACCAGAACCAGGAACCCAAATGGTCGAGCGCACAGCCAAGTGGCGAGTGTAACAAATGTGTCCTCGTCCTTGGCCCGTCGAGGGTTAAGTGCATCAAAAAATCAGTAAGGAAACTACAATCAAATTAGGGTGTGATGGCAAAACAATCGTCCCCCGAGGCAAATTTTGCGCACAGATTGCTCGGCACGCTCTGCTCGAGAGCCGTTTGGCTTAATGGCACCCTAATTGAATGTGTAAATATATTTGCGGATTACAGGGCGTCAATGTCGCCACGCAGGGATAAGATCGGCAGGTCCCAGTCCCCCGGCTTCCACAATCCGGTGCACAACTGACAAATTGAGATTTAATTTATATGAACTACATAAGTGATTTTTTATTGCACCACCCCATTACCATTGGGGGAAAAGTGTAAAATCGCGTCTATAGTTTTAAATGGCTTATGCTTGATTGGGATCAAACAATAAAAAATAACTAGATCTATATCTGACGAGTAAATTTATTTTATTTTTGGTCCTTGTTGGCTAAAATTACAAAACAGGTCAACAAATAACTTGCGGATCATTACCAAATTTTTTAGAAAACTTAAAAGACTAAATATTTATCAACGATAAGTAAGAACAACTACACAGAGAAAATTCTGACGTTTTAAGTTGAACATGTTTTTATTTTGCTCGAATCAAGTTGAATTGGCGGTACTTAAGTACATTGTATAAACAAATAAACTATTTGTTCAGTCCTTAGGGTATACTTATCAAAAAGAAAAATTCAATTTAACTTTCCTTTCTCACCATTTTGTTCCAAAAATTTCGTACCAAAACATAGTTACAAACATAGTTTTCAAAAACAAATGTTCTCAATTCAAGAACAATGTTCTCAATTCAAGAACAATGTTTTCAATTCAAGAACAATGTTCCTAGATACTTCTCTCTGTGGAGCTACAACTTTTTCACGAACGAAAAAAATATCACTAAACAAGAAAGGAAGTTAACGAAGTTTATGTGCGCTTGTAGTTATAAGAAATAGTCAATTCTAATAACATTATTTTTAATTTTAAGGGATTATGGCTGGCTTCAGGGATACTTATAAAAAACCATATTTACTTCCCATTAATTTTCCGACTGTTTCTATGGCAGCTATATGATATAGTCGCCCGTTTTTTCGAATTCAATTCGAAATTCTGAAATATTAAAACATGATATTTTGGAGAGTAGAAGATAACATGTCTAAGAACACCAGAACTATATTTTTGTTCAACTGTTTTCCATAATTTTTTCCGGTTATTCCTATAGGAGCTATATGATATGATTTTGTTATATGCTACATGCAACAGACATACGACTTTTGGAACGTTATATCCCTATAGCATTAAAACTATGAGACTAGTTCGCGTAAAAACGGGCAGACGGATATGGCTAGATCGAGTATATATACTTTTTAGAGTCAAAATTATCTTCTTGAACTGTAATCATATCACCTTCTGCAAGGGTGTACAATTTAAGTTTGAGGATCATTTGTACATGTATGTAGGTAACTCAGAAGTATATCAATGTGATGTATTATTGCAGAGCACCACAGTCCCCAGCGGCATTGCTATACGCCGCCGCCGGCCCCGATGCACGGACAGGCGCCTCCGCCCACTTCGGGGGGCGTGGCCCCGCCCTCACAGCAGCCGCCCCCTCATCCCGCCGCCACCAACGTGTCCGCCGGTCGATTGCTGAGCTGGAACCACAGTGCAGCTGCAGCAGCCGCGGCGGCAGCAGCAGCGGCAGCCAACTCCATGAACCACTCGTCGTCCGCAGAAGCCTCTTCGATGTCCCGGATTAAGGGTCAGAATCTGGGACTCATCTGCGTGGTGTGCGGCGACACCAGCTCCGGAAAGCACTACGGAATCCTGGCCTGCAATGGCTGCTCTGGATTTTTCAAACGCAGTGTGCGGCGGAAACTCATTTATCGGTGGGTAAACATAAAAAAATGTTTAATTATTATTTTTACAGATTATAAAAAATATTAGATGTTATAGACAAAATATATAGATTTACAAATATAGATCGAGGGTAAAACTACGGATTTTTAAGATAACATTAGTTAACATTCTGAACCTAATGTTACTTCGATTTAGGAAAGAAAGCAAAACCATAAATAAAGAAACATTAAACATTTTAACAACATTTTTTAGAAACGGAAAATTTATACGCCTCTTAATTCCCTTTAAAATCAAGTTCCTTTATAAATACTGCAATCTTCATCAAACAACTTCCAGTGTAGCTTAACTGTGGTCCTAAATCCAGTCATTACCATTTCATTTCCATTAAATGTTGCAACATTTGCCCAAAAGTGGGTGATTCTAGGGTTTGGGCTACTGTGCCCGGAGGCCCGTCTGGCGGATTACGAAGCTCTGCCAAATTCATTACAATTATTCAAATCTTTGGGATTTGAGCGTCAACTTTTGAATGCGCATTGACTTTGTGCCCAGAATGGCATCATGTGCGAATGCCACTTTACTTTCTCCCCCGATTGCAGCTTAAAATGTAATTGAATTTAAAGTGAATTCGTTAAAAACTTTTTATTTTGACATTGTAATTTTCCAAATAGAACAAATACTCGAATCAAAAACGGAAAAAAGTTTGTCGTACGTTTTCAATTATCATTAAATCAGAAAAAATATCCCATAATCCAAAACGACAGAATCAATGCCAGCAAAAACATAAAGTTATGATACAGTAATGTATATTTTGCTCTGCGGCTTTCCAGCAGGCGCGGTAAATCACAAATGTCGAAATCTCTATATCCGTGCGGTCCCATGAGATTGATATGGAGGGCTTAAGGGCAAAACACTTGGCCAAATGTGACCCGGCACCCTCATCCTCCCTCGTTAGAACTCCCAACATCTTCGCCCACCATCTAAGCCGAATCGCAACAAAGTCAAAAAATGAGGGCGGTCCTGTTTCTCTGTGGCTCTACATAAAATAGAGCACCATCCTCCCCTGCACAGGAATGACTAAACGAGGGATACACTCCAGTCCGGAAAAGGAAAAAGGGATACAGGTCCAGTGTATATTTTCACCGACGTGACTTGTTTTCCGATGGACGACAGAGTCAATCTGGCCCTTGGTCCTTTTTATTTCTAAGTCGATATGTCCCCGGTGGTCCCATTAAGCCTTTTTCAATTATAATCAATTGCTTCCAATCAGAACTTTCGAAATCAGCTGAAGGAATTTTCCAAGGACATGCTGAAAATATATTAATTTGGTTATAGCGATGAAAAATGATATCCGATTTTATGGGCTCATTTACTCATTTACTAAGTCGTTAAAATCTATAGATTTCTAGTATATACGAATTTCTTAAAAAATATTACAATATCAAATTTTGAACATAGGAGTTTAGTTTTGTGCAAATTATATATTAAATACTTAAAACTTATTTAACTAATTTAAATATTTTTAAAAATTTTATGTTTTATATTTTTTATTTTTATTTAATTTTATATTTTTGCAAACATTAGCAAAAAAAATTATTTTTTTAGAATTTTAAGAGGAATATGGAACTAAAACTTGGGCTATATTTAGAGAAAATTGTATCAAATTATCGAGAATATAGTTTTAAGAGTATCTTCAGATACTAAGGCTTTATAAGTCCCAACCAAAATGTATGCTGTCGGTATTTTCACCATAGTTTAGGTATACACAAATGAGTTCATCGTTTATTCCTGGATTTTTGATGGTTGGGGCATGGCAATATTATGTGATTATTTTATAGACGCACAAAACTTGGTATTCCAATGGAATGAGATGCCCATTCACACATATCCAATCTACTTGATTTGTTTACGAAAATCGGACATTTGCATACACAAAATACCTCAATTATATAAGTAACTATATACAAGGGCTGTATCTCAAGGATACATTTGGCTAAGTGATTTCATCCAAGGCGCCACGAAGGACATAAAATGGAAACGAAATGGACGGCTGGAGATTTCTAGGAGCGTTGGCCATCTTTGAGTTTTGGCGCAGGCTTAGTGTGCAAAAAGGGAGGCGATGACTGGGCTAAAAATGGTTTCGAGGACCTGGGTTTTTGTGGCTGTACGGGTGGATGTACGGAACACGCCACTTGGCCCTGATTTGATTAAAGTTCCACGAGGGCAGAACAAAGGACGAGAGGTCGATGAAACGGAAGAGAGGAACAGGTCCTGTATCTAGCAGATTCAGAAGTGCTTTTGTGGTGCTGGATTTCCGCTCGGTTGGCCTTAGTCTGCCGCTTTGTGTTCGCTACCGATTTCGACAAATGTTGCAATTTTTGACACGACAAATCTCGTTAGGAGACGCGCAGGATAACTTGATTATGTCCTGGCACTATCTAAATCGATTCTGATTTCTATTTCCAGCTGCCAGGCGGGAACTGGACGATGTGTGGTGGACAAAGCCCATCGGAATCAATGCCAGGCCTGCAGGCTCAAGAAGTGCCTTCAAATGGGAATGAACAAGGATGGTAAGGATGGGCATTACCAACTGCATTATCATATCTATATTCCAGCTCGCTCTAATGAACCGAAACATGTTTAATTGGTCTTTAACAGGACCTCAAAAGCCCGTGTACACGTGCCCCCGTTTCCATCTGCACTTTAACCCTTTCCCACGCCAAAAACCCTCTGGAAGAGCATTCGCATTCGCATCCGCATCCGCACCAGCTTCCTCATTTTGGGGTGGCTCACCTCCGGTTGAGGGTGCTCCTTATTTACATATTGCTCACCCAATTGATTTGTTACCTGCTGCTCGTGTTGTCTTTGACAGATTTTATGCAGCTTTAGCGCTGCCACTTCAGTGAACCCCAATTGTTCACTTTGACTGAAAGTTTTCTTCATTGTTTTGATGGCTGGTTCGATTCCTTGAAAAGTAAATAGACAAACAGCAGCCGTCAGTCAGTTTCAGGCTTGGAAATGGAATATGAACTGATTGTACTCGACTAAGTATAAAAGGTTTCAATGGTGAAAGTTGCTAGTTGCTTGAAATGAATATTATACATACATGCTTTTACATTTATAAACTTAGATATGTCTTTTTGCCCAACTCAGGTATATCTAAAATTTTGAAAAAGGTTCTTCCAATTTTTTGTAGTTGTTCACTTTTATAGATTTATAGATTGCTTAGATAAATCCTTTAACATCCAGCTTAACAGAACTTAAATTTTACAAAAAAAAAAACCCAAATGGGTAAGATACTTTTATATCTATCGCTTCACTTTCAAGACGTGACTTCGTCCCACTCATTCTTTCTAAGAACGATTCACACACTATACCGACTCCATTACGGATCCTTTAATTTACTCGTAAATTATGCGTGCCGTATGGAAAATAGCCACAGTTTGCGGATCCGCCATTAGCGGCGAAGTAGCTTTTGTGGCCCACGCTCATTGTGCGGTGAAATTGCATAAACAAATGGCGAAACAATTTGTGGGCGTGAGCGGCACGTGACCGCAAAACCAATTTGCCATCAATGGAATAGACGGATGGCCTTGTTCCCCTCAGCCGGAAAACTCCATATGCTGATGAGCAGGAAAGGCGAGGCACACGCGGCTGGTCCTGTTTTTGGTCCTGTTTATCCGGCGATACCTGAGCGATACCTCGAAGCGATTTTGTCAGTGTGACATTTCCTCATTACGGACACGTCCGCGTCCACGAACAACTAGATTCTGAGTGCTCATGTTAGTTGCATTTGTTTTCCAATTACAGCCGTGCAAAATGAGCGACAGCCCCGCAACACGGCCACTATAAGGCCGGAGACCCTGCGGGAGATGGAACACGGACGGGCGCTGCGAGAGGCCGCCGTGGCCGTCGGGGTTTTCGGGTAAGTGTGTCTGCATCTGCACTGGGAAAAAAATTCATTTAAAAATTAAATGTCAGAGGTTTTCATAGAAGTTATTTAGTATGCCTAGGCTAGTTCATTAAATATATTTAAAACCGCTTAAAATGTGTAAATCAAATAACTGAATTTAAGATTTATCTGCCAAAACATATAAGTAAGTAATCATTTAGAACTACAATACTTACAAATTCAAGCAATATAGTAAGCTTTTGAAATTATCTATTTAACGCTCAGTATTCTTGCTTACGAAGGAAAACAAATTAATTTTAAAATTTTAATATCAGAGGTTTTCATAGCAGTAATTTAATATGTCTAGGCTAGTTCATTAATTAATTATTTAGAGCTACAATACTTACAAAATCAGGAAATATAGTAAACTTTTGAAATTATCTATTAAACGCTCAGTATGTTTGCTAATAAGGGAATTTTTTATGATACATTTTTGTTTGATAATTGTTATTTGAAGTTATTGTTTTGAAAGCAATTAAATTAAATGTTTTATGAATGCCTCACAGCTAAGTAAAAATATTTTTATAAACAATTATTAAACATAAGCGATCTAGGAAAAGCAAATGTCGTATGTATTTGATTATACTTTATACACGTTAAACTAACTTTAAATTACAAGTGCTTCAGTAAAATAAAATAAACCTTAGAAAATTGGCAAGAAGCTATTAAAATAAATTTTTTTTCTCTCGTGGAACTTAGCGAATTTTTGAAATGTTCAATTTTTTTCCGAGTGTATGTGGTGTGGCTGGGCTGTCATTTGCATAAGTCTTTCTAACCGCCCAAAATCTGCGGGCAACTCCAATTTGCAGACCACCCGTGCTACTGTCTCCGCCCTGTTACGGCTCCGGACTCCTGCCCCCGCCCTGTGAGTAGTCCCTGCCCCCCGGCTGATAGTTTGGGCTGTAACTTATGCCCTTCCTTGATTTCCGTTTGATCCTCGAACAGCACTGGGCAGCCTGCCGACGGGAAGACTGCTGCACCACAACCACCTCACCTCCTCCATGCAATTGGCGGCAAACCACATGGGCGCCGGAAGCTTTCCCATGTTCAACGCCGCCGGAGTCCACCACTCGCCCAAGGAGAAGGCCTACGGGATGGAGCTGGCCAGCAGTGGCAACGTCTCCCACTCGACCAACTCGAGCAGCAACCACTCCATCGATCCTAGCTCACCGGCGCCTGAAAACACCAAGGAGAAGAACAACGCCGGCGGCAGCGTCTCCTCCATCAGCTCCTCCAGTCCCACGATGGAAAACGACAATGACGGTGGGTTTTGATAGCAAAGGAAAATCAAAAAACGATGTAATATCAACGATGTAAATGTAAAAGTATAGTCGAATGCCTCGACTATCAGATACCCATTACTAAGCTAAATGAAGGGCAAGGGAGATGGAGATATGCAAGCAATATTTATTCATAACTTCTTTATGAATGGACGGTTTTGAACAAATTGTAGATAGGTATTGATAAACAAATTAAATGTGTGCGACAGATAAATAGAAACTTGCGCTGCGCTGGAACCTCTAGAATCAGCTTGCTTAACGAGATCTAATCGTTCATATAGATAGGCGTAAAGTCGATGGTCAGGACTAGATCGACTCAAGTAGTTATCCTGATCAAGGATATATATATGCTTTATAGGGTCAGAAACGCTTTCTTCTGCCAGTTACATACTTTTTGACGAATACAATATACCCCATTACACTACGAGTAACGGGTTTGCTTTTTTATATCATATTCTCTCCTATGTTGTTAGTTTTGCATAGTTTCTTTTATGGGTATTGCAAAAACCCAAAAAAAAAGTGAAGAAAGGACTTACATATTTATTGGCTAGCCACAATAAAGCCAAAAAAAAAATAGATGAACTAAAAGGTTTTATTGCTATGATGAATTTTGTATTTTTATTACGCTTATATAAAGTTTAAAATCTAAAGCTTTATCATTTTATCAACAGCTAATATATTATTATTATTATATCTTTTAATTTGTCAGATGACTCAATTGATGTAACCAACGACAACGAGGAGCCGCACACAGTCAGCAGATCGGACTCCAGCTTCATCATGCCGCAGTTCATGTCGCCCAATCTTTATGCCCATCAGCATGAAACAGTTTACGAAACGAGTGCCCGACTGCTCTTCATGGCCGTCAAGTGGGCCAAGAACCTGCCCAGCTTTGCGCGTCTCTCTTTTCGGGATCAGGTGGGCTAAAACAAAAATATTTTCTTAATATGTACTAATATTACGACTTAATAGCACTAACACAGCTAAAACTATAAAAATATTTAATAGCTTATTTCGATTTTCAATAATAATTATATATAAAAAGACATAAAAAGACATATATAAAAAGACATCCCATTCCTTTCAGGTAATTCTCCTAGAGGAATCCTGGTCAGAGCTATTCCTGCTGAACGCTATCCAATGGTGTATCCCCTTGGATCCTACGGGCTGTGCTCTCTTCTCGGTAGCGGAGCATTGTAATAATCTGGAGAACAACGCCAATGGGGACACTTGCATAACAAAGGAAGAGGTAACTTGTACCTACTTTTACTTACTTTTACTTACTTTTATTTCCTTTTCATCAATATCCCTTAATTTCTGGTAGCTGGCGGCGGATGTGCGAACCCTCCACGAGATCTTTTGCAAGTACAAGGCGGTTCTGGTGGATCCTGCAGAATTCGCTTGCCTCAAGGCGATAGTTTTGTTCCGACCGGAGACCCGCGGACTGAAGGATCCGGCGCAGATTGAGAATCTCCAGGATCAGGCGCACGTAAGTATGCTATGAATAAATTGAAACTAGGTAATATTAACTCATTTATTTGTTTTGTACCATTAGGTAATGTTGTCGCAGCACACGAAGACGCAGTTCACGGCCCAGATCGCCAGATTCGGTAGACTCCTTCTCATGCTGCCACTATTGCGAATGATCAGCTCCCATAAGATCGAGTCCATTTACTTTCAGCGCACAATTGGCAACACGCCCATGGAGAAGGTCCTCTGCGATATGTATAAGAACTAGTTAACTCGTGCTTTAAGTTACAGAAAATTTAAATAAATATGGTTTTTGTGTCTTGAATGTTAAGTGACGTTGGCTTTAACTATTATATTTTTCTTTATGTAATTCTAAATTGATTAAATATAATAAGAACAGCACAAATTTTTAGTCGAGCGCAAGTCATGTTCTTTTAAGTTTGTGTTTTGATTATGTGAGTAAGGGAAAGAAAAACAAAATTTTATTGTTTGATGCAAAAAACGTTTATAGAAGATTTACTCTTATCATGTTATTATTATTAAACACTTGTACACTTTTAATCGTTGGACGACGCACACTTTCTTATTTTTTATGGGCTCACCTCAGTGACACCATACACAAATGATTTATTTTGGATGATTTAATTTCATACATATTTGAGTAATATATCATATTGTCTCGGTTATCAGTGGACACTTAAACAATTGCTGCATTCCCAATCTGTACCGAGTAATTTGTTTTTTCCCAACAAAACATTTATCGCGCGTGTGATCTACTAAAAAATGTTTTCCCGTCATTATCGTACTTATGTGCGATTGTTTTGGTTTTAAAAAAACTAAGTATTAAAATATAAAATATATTAATTTTATTGAAATTAATTGTGAGTAAAATTCCAAATTGCTTCTCGTCGAAATTTTTAAATTTCCCAGTTGACAACAATAAACAAAAGTCTTATATCTTTTGCAGGTAGTATATAAGTCGGAACCAGCCGGATCGTACAACTATATCTTATACCTCCCATAGGAATAGTCGGAAAAAAAATTTTAAAAAATTATATCTTTGTTGTTTTTTAACATATAACCTCGAATTTCGAATTAAATTTTATCAAAATCGGAAGACTATAACTGCCATAAGAATGATCCGAAAATTGGTTGGAAAATAATATGAAACAAATTATAGCTTCGGTGTTTTATGATATATTATCTTATACTATTGGGAATATACTTTTTTTGTATTTTTAAATTTAATAATTATAACTTCAAGGGTATACAAGCTTCGGTTTGCCGAAGTTAACTTCCTCTCTTTTTTTGTTTTTTTTTTTAAGTTGATCAAGTTTATCAAATATTTTTGCTTTAAATTTAAAAGTTTAAATAAATTTTAAAGTGTTGTTTTGCAATATTAAAATTTAGATGATAAAGATGATTTGGACGTGCTTCGTCAGTGCGAATGACCGTCCATATACATTAAATTCTACATATATGTATTTGACTTGGCAGGCAAATTTGGAATCTGCGTTGTCATGTCTTTGAAGCTGTTTTGCTTATGCGACTCCACAACAAATAACTTTTAGTTACTGTCGCTTTTTAAGCAAGACTGGGTGTGTTCTTTCTCTTAAAAAATTAAATTCTTTTCAGAAACAATGTGTTTCCCATAAAGAAGCATTAATTTGTTCAGTAATTATACCTAAGTTAAGATACGTTGAACTCGAAGCAAAGAGATTGTGAAAAACAAGAAAAATAAAATTGATAAGAGGTTGTCGCCTTTCTTATAAATGATAACACCAAAACTACAAACACACCAATTCGGAAAAAATACATTTCAAACAACAAGGACTTATATAGTCGAGCGCCAGATCCAGTTGAGTATTATAAACATCACATTGGGGAAAAGCAATGTAATGTTACAGTAAATATTGTTAACGTTTAATTAACTAGTACACAGAGAAAACTATCTAGAAAACTAATCTAAATATTCTTGAATTGAGAACATTGTTCTTGAATTAAGAACATTGTTCTTGAATTGAGAACATTCGTTCTTGAAATCCGTGTAAGTACATTTTGGTATCAATATAAGAACGAAATGGTGAGAAGAGAAAAGTTAAATTGAGTTTATTTAACAACTTTTTGACAAGTATACACTAAAGACGGAACATACAATGTACTTAAATACCGCCAATTCAACTTGATTCGAGCAAAATAAAAACATTTTCAACTTTAAAATGTCGTTCTATTTTTAAGAACATTTTTAACTCAAATGAGAACGTCAGAATTTTTTCTGTGTAGCTATTACAATAACAAAACAGACTCATTTAAATAGTCTTTTAAAGTTTTGCAACATGAAACTATCAATATTTTATTTTTTTGCAGCGTTTTTGTCGAAGCCTCCAATAGCTGGTTTGGTTAAGGGAGCAACATGAAATTACTGGTTAGTATCAACTGGTAAAATTATCTTAATATAAATTGATATGTTTTTTAGATTGTAATGTTTGCCCTGATGGCCGTTATTTTGGCCGCTCCTCAAGGATTTGGCGGAAAGCTTCGTGGTCAGGAAGGATATGGCGGAACTAATCGCCAGTTCTTAGGTCAAAACGAAATATTGAAAGAATCTTCACGTGTCAAAAGTAGAGGAGTAATTGTCGGTCAGAAAGTATATGTCGCACCATGGCCAAATGTCAATGCTCAAAGCGAAACATATAACTACAGAAATCCAGATGGATTTGGAGTTCAGGGAAAATATGGCAGACCTGGTCCCAAAGTAGTTGTTCACAGCGAAGGCGGCCATCTAAGTTTCAATAATATGGGAGGATATGGTAGTCAAGGTGTTTATGGAGTACCCGGTCCTTATGTTGTTGTTCAAAGCGCAAGATTTAATCTTGGAAATCTGGGAGGAGCAGGCCCCCAATACGTTGGAAAAGGCCAAAGGTTAAATAGCGGACGTCTTGGACTCGATAATATAGGCGCATATGGCGTACCAGGTTCCTATGTTGGTGGTGAAAGCGAAAGATTCAAGGGATTCAGCAACGGAGAAGGAGTTGACGGTCACGGTACACAAACAGGTCTGCAATGGAATAACAGACCTACATATTTTTTTAAATGCGCTATATGTTCATCTTCCAATCCATTTGGAAAATAACGTTCTTTCTGGTCTGGGATTGACTGGAAATCTTTAAAATGTGAAAGCGTAAATATTCAATAGTTGGTAGTTTTTCCTTGTTTTAGAAGTATACATTTTATGTAATATTCACTAAAAATTGAAAGATTAAAGGTTATATACCCTTGCTGTTAAAAGATTTGATTTGTTTTAATTATAAATACCCACCTACATCTTACAGGTGGAAGGAAGCGTTTCCCATAAGAGCTAGAGTGTTAGAAATTAAGCAGATCAGAGTGCCACGCCAGTCAGTCTGACAGGCGCCCTCATGTTTCAATATCTTGAAAAGTTGTAAATGGGATTTTGTTTTTATTAGCAATACCCATCTACATGGGAATCGATGCGGTGTCGGAGGGTGCAATCGCTTTGCTGCTTGGATGAGAAACGGGTATCTGTTTCACAATTCTTACTTACGGCAAAAATGCATTTTTCTTATATTTATTTTAAAACTCTGATGCTAAAAATAAAGTTATACACCAAACCAATTTTATAAAGCTCCGATATTTTTATATATATATATCTACTACCTAAATACTAAATACTGCTATAATCAAGTACAAACAACCCTGATTTAAGAACGATTTAATACTTACCATTTAAAAACTATCGAAAAAATGCTGAAAAAGTTCTTACATGAAGCACATTTTGGATTTAAATATCTAATAATTCCCAACTGTTATTCTGAAAGTGCTCGGTATATAGACGCATAAATTACACAGTGTTAATGGTCGTAGGCGACAAGTTCATTTCCAATACTTATTTCCTTTACTACCATATAATAGAAACCCAATTAAAAATTACAATATATGTATATTGGTATATAAAACATTCGTCCTTAAATTAACCTGCAACTTTCTTACTTTATTATTACATCGTTCTTATATTAAGTACAAATATGACTACACTTAAGAATAATTCATAGTTAATTTTAGACCGAAAGGTTCTGAAACCTGGTATTTTCGGTCTTGAAAATTCGTGCTTGAAAGCTGCATTTTGATCTCGGGTTCTGTATTTTCCATGCTTCGCGAAGTTTTGACACGGAAAATACTTGATTCAAGCACAAAATAATTTTTTTTTTTAATAGAAAGAAGTCTGTCCACAATGCTCAAACTATGGCATTAAGAGAAATTAAATTAAAGGGTGACATTGTAATTGTAAACTAAAACATATATCACTTAAATTGGATAAGCGCAGTTCGAGATATAATTAAAACACGGAGATAACAAACAACTTTAATTTAAAATATCTTTATTACAAAACTTATCCATTTAAAATATTTTTGACTTCTTTTTCGTGATCTAGGGGTCCATCTTACAAGGACCTACTTTCATCCTTCTTTATCTGTAAACTAGTGTAATAGTTATCTTAATGTTGAGTCATTTTTCGTCATTTATTGGAATCTACAGGTAGCTAAAATCATTACTGTCAGGAACAATTAAAAAACTATTATATTTTTTTTATAACTTCAGATAAACTTAGCTTTCCATTTTCGAGTCGCTTTATCTGTGAGAAGTTTAATTACATTTTATTCAAGTTTCAAATTATTTCCAGCAGAGATCCAGTTGAACGCTCAGTTTGTACTCTTCGTCGAGATAAGCTTTCCCCTTAACTAAAAGAATGCAGCTGTACAGTTTGTATACATATAATTTTAGCAAAAGCTGGACATTTATTGGTATTTAAAAAAGTACTTAAATTTGTTTGCATTTTTATACCCTTGCAGAGGGTATAATGATTTTAGTCAGAAGTTTGCAACGCAGTAATGCATACGTTTCCGAAACGGTAACGACCTGCAAGGGTATAGAAACTTTGGCGTGCCGAAGTTAGCTTCCTCTCTTGTTAAAGTTAATTTTATTTACAAAAAGGAGCTTAAGATGCTGCCCTTCAAATCAGAGTGGGATTATAGTAATTTTATGCCAGAAACCGCTGTTACCTGGATACTGAGTTTCGGAAACCTCTACTACATTCTCGATCCATTTCATGTATTGGGTTACGTTTGTGAGAACACCTAATACAGATTCCTTAATGCATTTTTCAGAACCAAAGCTGACCAAACCGTACTGAAAAGTCCTGTTCGTATTTTCGTAAAACATCATTGAGCTAAGTGGGCCTCCAGAGTCGCCTTCACATGAGCCAGTTGAATTACTGGCGACACAAATCTGGGATTGATCAGTATGAGTACTATACTTGAAGTCACAATAGGAATTATTGATTGAGTAAACGGTCCCTGTTTGTAAAATCCGGTTAACTGGTTGCTCCTGTTTAGTCTTACCCCAGCCGGTGATGTTAAATTGCCTAGCCTGAATTATTGGCTCATCGACGAGTAGACATATAGGTCGAACATAATCTAAGAAACAGATTTTTAGTTAAGGAGGTCCTACTTGGTTGACCAATTTATTTACCTGAATATGTCACCTCTTCCTTCATTCGAAACATGCCTATGTCGAACTTCCTACTTCTATCTGCAATACTTCCTTTGTAATCTCTGTGAACAAATTTCATATCGGCTATATGATTATACATCTTTGGTATGCATTTATCCGAAGTGCAAACTGGTTCTGGATCTTTTATTAAATAATCGCCCAAGTGCAAATATGTGTCATCAAAATAAAGGCAATGCGCAGCCGAAAGAACTAAGCCTAAGAAAGAGTATAATAATATAGAATAAATCTCTTATTAATTTAACAAATTTTAATAAATACCCACGTGTTGTGATGAGCGTGCCGCCACACACAAAATCAAACGAAAGACCATTTTTTCTAGTGATCATTACCATCCATGGGTTCTCCTTAATAGATGTTTTGTTACCGTCATGAATAAGACCCTCTATATCGTCAATCGTTGATATTCCACAGTTCCTATCAAGCAAGCGTGCTGATCCTTTTTTAGTGCCATTAAAAAGACAGGCTAAAAAAACAATTCCCGATAAGACGAGCTTCATGTTTTCGCTAAGACTGAATGATTGACTCACGCGGAATAAATTTATATATGATTTTTGGCGCGCCACTTGGAAAAGATTATTATTATAATCTGTGTTTTTTTCGACTCTATAAAGTCAAAAAAACGCAAAACATAAGTTTAATATCCTCATAATTTGAGCTTACTTATATACGTTTTGGCTCAATAGAAAGGTCATTTATATTCCGTTTGAATGATTCAAGAATTTTCTGAACCATTCAGTGCCTCTTGAAAATGGGGAATTTTGTGAAAATCTACTTTAAAACTTTTTTCCACATCTTGAAAACTAAAATTGCATACCTGCGAAAATAATTTTTCAAAAATCGTTTTGCTTGTATTTTTTATAATTTTTTGAATGTGACAATGTCTAAAAAAAGTAGTATGAAAAACAGAAAAATATGGCTCAATTTCAAATTACCATTTCTAGTCATCCCAAAAAGCATGCTACAGTTTAACCCAAGAGAAGAATCTACAGTCAGAAATGTGTCAGAAATGACAATAGGGGGCGCCACTTTAAAAACAAGTATGGTGTACGAACTGCTTTGGAGTGTGTATTCGCTAGGTAGGGATTGTGCATTCGCTAAGTGCCACTGCACTATGGGACAAATCGATTTCAATAAATTGCAGATTTTTGTGCAATCCATTGATTTGTTCTTCTAAACGTTTTTGCTGCGTGAAATGATGTTCATCCAATCACTACACAGTTGGTTACCTATGTTAGTGTATAATTGTGTTAAATTAAGAAACTAATAACAAAATATCAATTTAAAATTATTCTATAAAAATAAACTCGATACTTCAAATATCAAATTGATATTAATTAAAATAAATTTAAAATTTCGTTTGCTACATACTTTTCATAAAACTTTCGATCTCTTTCTGACTAGTACAGGACTTAGACATTAATCTTATTGTTTTGGGTGTATCTTTCAAATTTTTCCTTTTCATTTTTTATTTTTATTTTCCTTGTAGCTTTTTTTTAAATCTCAAAGAATTTACATAATTTGCGAACAAATTGGTCCGAGGCCTTCAAGATCGGAGAATACGTAAAAATATTCACAAAAAAATAGTTTCGGCAACAAGGAAGACTTCATCAAATTTAAATATTCCTCAAAAAGTAACACACATTTTTTCTCAGCGGCATTGAGATCAGTGTTTTCTAGGTAAACACAAAATTAATTTTTTTTTTTTTGCTGGTTTTTGTGGATTTGTAGCAGTATTTGTGCCAGTACCCAGCCCTTTCGGGAAAGAACTGACCCAAAACCAAAACTAGCCGACATAAATTCAGAAGCAGCCGGCTTATAAGTACAAAGAAATATAGTTTTTTTTTCACAAAATTTTCCTTAAACATATAGCCCAACAATATAGATGTGGTTGGACCTATGTAGTTCTTATTAAATTTACTTTTTGGTTTATTGCTATACCAATATTGTTGAAATGTGTTATCGTACTTAAAATGAATAAATAAACTTAAATTAGCTATCAGAACAACTACAGAATTAATTTTAATATTGATTTCGCAAGATTTTTTCACCTTCTTACATTATTCTAATACACAGAGAGAATTCTGACGTTCTCATCTGAGTTGAAAATGTTCTTAAAATAAGAACGACATTTCTTTGAGCTCAAAATGTTCTAGAATTAAGAACGTTCAGCTCAAAGTAAGAAGATTTACTCTTACACAGTTCTCAATTTAAACACAATGTTCTGGTTTTTCCTCTCTGTGTACAAACTCTGGGTAATTATGTATCTCGTGCGAATTTCCTTATCTGCAAAAGCTGGCGCCAAAGGATTCAAAGTAGCTGCCGGAAAAACCTTCAACCCTGATTGGCGCCCTTGACGACCGCTGGCCACACTGGCCGGCGGGAGTAATCTGCGGGAGCACAGGCTCCAAACCTCGAGCCAAAGTGACTGAGTGATGCCTAAGGAATGCGCTCGCCGAAAAAAAAAACAAAAAACGGGAAAACTGCAATCAATGTCTGGCCCATAAAATGTGCAATTAAACCGCTGTAAATGGTAAAGTTCAAGTGAAATACAGGGGAATTACAAATAAGAAAAATGGCAAGCAAAGCCAACTGAAATCTCCTGGCTTAGGTGTGCGCTAGTGTGTGTGTGTGTGTCGGTGCGTAGTGGGTGTGGGTGTGCGCGCACAACAAAATATAAATAAAACTCCAATGTCACCGAGTGGAGTTGATAAAAAAATAGCAGCGCTAAAGGCCTTTTAATTGCCGCTGCAGTCGATAAATCATCAAACGGAACGGGAATATGAAAGTATCTCAGGAATCCAGTGCGTAAAATTAGAATGCAGCAACAACAACAGCGCGCTGGCGGAGGCAGGAAAGATACAAAATAGCCAAGGAGCCAATATATATACGTACATGTACATATACATCCACGTCGTAAAGTGCGTCCGAAATGGGAGAGTGCTCTCTCTCTCTATCTCTCTCTTGGAGCCTTCCACCCCGCCGCCCCCTAACCATTCACCCACTTCCTGCACATATGCTGCGTACAGCAACAACACAACGTGCTCCTCCTGGGGATGCTGTGTGCGAGTTTTTTTTCAGAGCGGGAGCGGGAGAATAGCGCCACGCGCTCTCTGACTCCGAATCAAAGAGCGCAACTACACTCAGAGAAATAATCACACTTTTCTTAAAGAAAACTTACGTAGTTTTTATATTTGGATCAGGATTTCGAACATAAGCACCAAATTAAAAAACGAAAATTAATCTAGTGATTCTTAAATTTTAAATGTTTTTTAAACTCTTTAATAGCTAGCCTTAAAAAAAGTTGTAAAGTTGTTTTCAAGAGCTCAATGGCCATACCAAAATTAAAATTGATTCATTAGCGTTCACATTCAGTTTTGAATTTACTTGAGGACTATTTTTCTATGACTTGGATTATGGTTTTTTATTATGATTTTGATTTTAAACTATAAAATTATATACAAATACCTATTCAGTTTTTGCAACAATGCCTTAAATACTTGTTCCACATTTTCACTACATTTTCAATAAATAGTAATTATTTAAAAAGAAATTATGTATGTATCTAGAGTTAACGTAACGTTTTTTAACAGAAGCTGATTTTTATTGTGTGGTTGTAATTTTTTATAAAGTAAATATTTAACTGGAGTTAATGTAACGCTTAGAAATGCAAGTTTCAATATCAATAGTTCTTTAATTTCTTAATTTTTATTGAACATTTGTGGAAAAATGTTGTATAGATTTTTCTCTGAGTGCAGGGCCCTGTCATCGCAGCCTTTTCTGCCAAGTCCACGAACGCACGTCTCATTTGAACGCCAAACGTCGAGGCAAACGGACGCACGCCGGCTCGTCGCAGTGGTTGTTTATTTTCGAAATTCGAGTGTTCGAGCGCGCGTATTGAAAACCAAGTGCAAGATCGTGTGAACGGCGATACAAAGATATCATATGCGGGATTGAGATACCTTACCTAGTGCCATAATAATAATACCAGCAGGATATATCTTCCCGATGCAGTGGTGAAGTGCTCGGTCATAATAATGAGTGTAAGCGGAGACAAGTAAACTAAGAGCGATAAGGTTACAGCACACAAACACACTCTGCGAGGATTCCAGGGGGGCTGGTGACATGTAACTGGATCTGGATACATGTTGGCTCCTGCTCCTAAGACAACAGCCCGCTCCTTTGGTCGCACTGCAGAAACGGCAGAAACGGGAGCAACAAAAGCGAGACACCGGGTAAGTAGCGATGCTTAGCTATAATAAGAAACCCCAGTGCTCGGACAGGATGGCATAGGATGGGATAGGATGGGCTAGGATAAAAACAAGGCACACACACAGGACACACTACTTATGGGCACGCTCAGACAAAAAGGGGCGCACTGCAGTAGTCCGTCGCTTCCTGCGCCGCTAAGTATGCCACTGCAATGCTATTTTAAGGTGCAAAGTGCATTGAGTAGGAGGTGAAGTGCCAACCAGCTATCCAGCTAACCAGCTAACCATAACCCACACACAAACACCGGACTACGGCGACAACACACAAAACGTATTCAAGTGTAACTAAAGACGACCAATTCACAAACAAACAAGCGGCCCAGGAGCACTTGCGGGGGTGGAGGAGGAGTCGACGGAGGGGGCGGGGGAAACGGAACCGACTGGAGCGGAGCGGACGACCCTCGAACCATGTGACCGCGGGACACAGGGCGACGGAGGGAGGGGGGGTCGACAGGGGCTACAGGGCCGCTCGCTAATGTTTATTATGAAAAGCGTGCCCTTTTGAACGCCATCGTGTATTTTTATTTTTATTTGTATTTTATGATTGCGCTTAGCCATGTGTATTTGCTGTGAGTGCGACTGTGTGTGTTTGTACAGTGGAAAAAAATAACATCATTTTAGTTTCAAATTCTGTTTAATCAAGGGGAGCGGATAGAAGATGGCTTGTCTATAGCTGAGTTATGGAAAGACTCGAACCTACTTGGTATAATCGGTGTTTTCACTCTAGCTATGATAATATCCCAATTAATAATAAACAAACGGTTTCTAAGACGGAAGATTTCAATCGAAATTGATTATGATTGTAATCATACATTCAATAAAACGCCATTAATTGTAAATTTAAATTAAATCGAGCCAGAATCTTTGAAATTGATATGAAATTAGTTCAAATTTATTAATGATATCATAGTCCCATGTCCTATACGAACAAATTTAATTAAAGATTTATTTAAGATCTTAAATATGATTGTAATATTTTTGAAATATGAGTATTGGTTTTTTGTATCAGTCGGATGATCTGGGCACTTGGAAAATCCATACCTTGATCCGGTTTAAGACCATGGTAATATTTGATTTGAAACTAGTTAAAATACTTAAGAATTTAAATATGATTTTAATATTTTTTTAATAAGTACTGGTTTTTTTTATATCAATCCCATGATCTGGGCAGTTTGAAAATCTCATTTCTTGATCCGTTTTAAGACCATGGAAATATTTGATTAAAATG